TTTTATCATATCTCTTCTGGGAGCTGCAGTCTCAAAATAAATTCAGAGAAATACAGGGGGATTTATGAGAAGGGAAAAAGACCATGATTGTCTTCAACTGCATCAAAGGTGTAGTGGAAAAGGGAACTATTCTGAGGTGTTACAGACACATCTCTCAGAGCCAACTGGCAGATAATGAGGAAGTGACAAAATGTCTTCATATAGGTAGAACTGTTCTCAACCAAAGGTAAAATTGGCCACTCATTGTGATTCTCACCTGAGTAGTGAATTTGGAATGAGAAAATGTTTCTCACAAATTGTGATCATATGTTGGCTATGAGTAGTTGTCAGTGTTCTTAGAGAGGTTGGGAAGAGAATGAATCTGGGAATATTAGCCTAATTATAGCCTAACCAAGGCCACAGCATAATGTTTATTATTCATCACATAGGTTATTACTTTAATGAGAAAATATATTTTTAAAGTGTAAGAATTAACCTACAGCGACTTTTAGATCATAATCCCTTGACAAATTGGAAACTGCCTACATTTAATTTTATTTATTATATTCATAAATGGCATAAACATTGATAAGTATTAAAAACAGGTCATACATTATCACTCTAAAATGTGTGGGGTTGTTTTCCTCTGATGTTTTTTAAGAAATCTGATCACATCTAACATTTCTCCGTCTTGAAGTATAGACCTAAGAGCCTTTAGCCAATACACTTATCTTAATCATCCATCCACCCAACTAACAATGAGTTCCTATAATGTATCATCAACTTTAAATGGTGTGAGAAATGCAAAGAGAAGTGAAGTGGATTAACCATTGAGGTTATTTTTTGGAAGCGGGGATGCCCATTTATTTGGCTCTCTTATATTGAGTTTTACTTTTTTTACATACCATAAATTTCACTCTTTTTGGTGTACAGTTCTATGACAAATGCATAAAGTTGTGTAACCACCATGACAACCAAAAAAACAGTATTTCTACACCACCCCAAAACTCCTTTATGTTACTGCTCAATTATTTAGTTTTACACATATTGAGTCCGAGGTGTCTGAAAGATACTCTGATGAAAATGTTCAATAAGATGAAAAACTGTGATTTAGGCTTTGGAGAAATCTGTGCTGGAAATAAAAGTTTGGCAATTTTTGCCCATAGACTGTGCTAAAGTCATGGGGAAGAGACTGCCTGAAGCACAAGCAAGGGAGTTTGAGGATGACCTTTAGAAACATCAATATTTACATGGCAAGTGGAAAAAGAGGAAAGCAGTATTATAAAGGGGAAGACAAGATAGAAAGGTACCACAGAAGCTAAAAAGAGAACTTTCTTTTAAAAGGGAGAATGATCAATTGTTAGTGGCAAAACACATAACAATACCACCTTAACATAAGAACTGACAAGCACTTTGGCAACTAGGAAGTAATCACTAACTTTAATGAAAGCAATTTCACTGGATTGATGGGTGCAAGAGCCTATCGATGCTTAGAGTTAATGGGAAACTGGAACAAAGGATACAATTTTGAATAGTGGTTAATGAAACATACCAACTCAAGGGAGGAAAGGCATGAACATGGTTACAAGTTGAGAAAAGACAACTTGTAAGGATAAAGCGGAAAGAAGTTGCAATTAGGTACAGACAAGGTAAAATGTATTGCATAAAAAGAGATTCATCTCTCTCTGAGGTGGAGAGGCTCAACAGTAGAAGAAGCACAGAGCTCCTTGGTATCTACCCAAATGAGTTGAAAAGTTGTATCCATAGAAGATTCCACAAATATTTATAGAAGCTTTATTCATAATTGCCAAAACTTGGAAGCAACCAACATGTCCCTCAGCAGGTGAATGAATAAACAAATTGTGGCACATCCATACAATGAAATATTATTCAATGATAAAAAGAAATAATCATGCCACATTAGACATGGAGGAAACTTAAATGCATATTATTAAGTGAAAAAAATCAGTCTGAAAGGGGTACATGCTGTGTAATTCCAACTATAAAACATTCCAACAAAGGCAAACTGTGGAGATATTAAAAAGATCAGTGGTTGCCAGGAGTTCAGGGGAGGGTGGAAGAAATGAATAGGTAGAGCACAGGAGATTTTGAGGACAGTGAAACTATTCTGTATGATATTGTAATGATGGATACCTGTTGTATCATTATATATTTGTCAAAACCCATAGAATGTACAACACAAAGAGTGAGCCTTGAGATAAGGTATGAACTATAGTTAATAATACTGTATCAATATTGGCTCATCAGTTTTACCATATGTACCTAACTAACGCAAAATGTTAATTATAGGGAAACTGTGTGTGAGAGGGGTTATGTAGGGACTCTCTGTAGTTTCTACTCTTCAGTAAATCTCAAATTATCCCTTAAAAAAACAAGAGTAAGCATAGAGATGTAGAATAGAGAAGCAATGATGAACTTTAATTTTCATTAATTAGGAGGAGTAGGCATGAGTAGGTATCACTTGAGAAAATGTTCTATCACATTCTAGATATTACATCCAGAAAGATGGGATATGTCCTAATTGAGTTTCTTCCGTGTCCAGGTAGCAGGCAAACAAGTGACTAATGATGTAAGGAAAGTAGTCACTGACTTTTGAAATATAGATGCTTATCACTGGCATCTCTATAACTGATAAATTTCTTGAAATTTAATCCATACCTCAATCTACTATTTTATTTTAAATCACGAGATTCATATTGAACCATGTTACACATAGTTTTAGTAAATATGACCATTTAAAAAAACTGGAAAAAAATCCATTCTTGAAGAAAAAAATAAAAAATGTATTCACTCAACAGCCTGTTTCTGCCAGAGTTGTAAAACACCATAAAAACAGTCTTTGGATTTATGCACAATTACAGGGATTAGAACAATAATAAATACATATATTAAGATACCCTAAATTGTCAGGGTCTCAAAGTGTGTTCTGTAGATACCTATAAGTCTACAGACTAACAGGGGATCGATGAAGTCAAAATAATAACACTAAGATAATCATGCTGTTTTTACCATGTTGACATTTTCAATGATGGTACAAAAAGTCACTGTGGGTAAGGCAGCTGGCTCCCTAACAGGAAGTACAGCAGTAGCACCAAACCACTAGTAATCACTGTAGTCATCACTGCTATACATTCAGTAAAAAGCGACTTTCACTAAAGAATGTCTTTGAAAGGGCGCCTGGGTGGCTCAGTTGGTTGAGCGACTGCGTTCGGCTCAGGTCATGATCCTGGAGTCCCGGGATCGAGTCCCGCATCGGGCTCCCTGCTCAGCGGGGAGTCTGCTTCTCCCTCTGACCCTCTTCCCTTTCATGCTATCTCTCATTCTCTCTCTCTCTCAAATAAATAAATAAAATATTAAAAAAAGTCTTTGATGAAGTAGTAAAAACTATTAATTTTATTAAATCTTGAACATACATCTTTTTAGTATTCAATGGGATGAAATGGGAAGCATGCATAAAGGACCTATGCTATATCATAGTATGATCATACTTTGAGGAAAACCTGAGTTGGGAGCTGAAAAAGCTTCATTTATCTCGAAACACCATGTTTACTTGAAAGAACTGACGGGGCACCAGTCTGGCTCAGTCAGTAGAGCATGCAACTCTTTTTTTTTTTTTAATTTATTTATTTTAGAGAGAGAGAAGGAGAGAGCAGGAACAGGAAGGAGAGAGAATCTGAAGCAGACTCTGTGCTGAGGGCAGAGTCCAATGTAGGGCTCGATCTCAGGACCCTGAGATCACTACCTGAACAGAGATACCAAGACTTGGATGCTTAACAGAATGTGCAACCCAGGCACCACAAGCATGTGACTCATGATCTCAGGGTTGTGAGTTCAAACCCCACGTTGGGTGCAAAGTTTTACTTACTTACTTACTCACTTACTGAAAGAAAGAGAAAGAAAGAAAGAAAGAGAAAGAATGAACAACTGACAATGGATATTCAGGCATTTGTCAATTTTCTCAAAAAAGAACAAAAGGAACCTGTGATTTCAAGAACTCACAGTATTTGTTGCCAAAGATTAAAAAAAAAAAGATTTTTAAGTAGAAATTAGAATTTTAGAAAACTTGTATCTGCTACTACTGTGAGCTTGACAGCTTCCCCATACCTAAAAAAATTTTTGATGAGATTGGTGGTGATATTAACAAATGTGATTTTGAAAATATTATATAAAGAAATGTATCAACATTTGGAAGATCTACATAACCCAGTGAACCAGTATTTTCCAGATGACTAATGCATGATGTTACAAAGTCATGTATGGGTAAAAGATCCATTCAAACTGCAAGACAGATTAATGGAATGCAATGTAAGTAAGGATTAAAATAGTTGCATATATAAACCATATTGATGAGTTTATATGGTTTCTGATTCCATATTGCAACTAACTTTAAGAAACAATCACTTGTTGAATTGTGGTGTAGTGACAAATAAGAATATCCACATTATTTTGAAGATACTTTTAAAATCTTTCTCCCTTTTCCAGCTACCTATCTGTGTGAAGCAAAATTGTTCTCATCTACTTCAACCAAAACATCAAAATACACTGAATGCAAAAGCAGGTATCAGAACCTAGCTGCCTTCTATTAAGCTATATATTAAATACAATTATTAAAATGTAAAACAATGCCATTTTTATTTTTTAAATAGTTATTTTTAATAAAAATGTTATTTATGTTAACATGTAACAAGCTTATTAATGTTAGTTTAAGTCTTAATTAATAACTATATTTTAAATTTCTCTGTTTTGTATTTCTACAGTGGTAAATGTTGATAGATAAACCCCACAAAAACAAAAGCTCTTTGGGGTCCTCAATAACTTTTGCGTATAAAGGGTTCCTGAAACTACTAGAAAAGACTATTATCAGAGTGACAAAATTACCTAAAAATAAAACCATAGTTCCTAATCAATGACTTAGAACATACAGTAAAAGGCTGATTTGATACTTGATATAATATCATGATCAGAGCAAGTCATAAAACATTTTCTTGATATTAACTTACAAAGAGAATTCTGTTTTACTAATTTCAGTTGTGATGTAGTCAATTTTTCTCCTCGCTGGCTTTTATTCTCTTCATCTTGAACTACAAAGTCATCAATAATATAATCATCTCCATCTTCATCATATTCATAATCCTCCTCCTCCTCATCATCATCATTTTCATCACTGCTTGGGCAGGATTCCTTTTCAGAGTCCTAATTAAATTAAAACATATCCTTCAGTAAATTTTTACCCTTAAATTGTCAGTATGGATATGAAATTAAAAGATTAAATCTGAAACCAAAACAATGATCCATGGAAATTAACATCATATTGTAAGGTTAAAAAAAAGTCTTGTCATGTTAAATGCTGAACTTTTGGAATTAGGAAGAAGATAATATACCTTGGTAAATGATATAAAATGTTTAAAGTGGACATTAAGATTATAAATAGAAGTTAAAAAGAGGAAAGACCATATGAAACAGTCTTTCAATTTTAAAAGAGTGATAAACTGAGGCTCATGATAAAACTATGTATTAGATACAACAGTGCAATCAAACATGTTCAAGGACACTTGGTTGAAAAATAAATTCAAGAATTGAGAAATAGAACAGACTCAACACTTTTTTATAAAAAATCAATACTTTAAGGAAAAATTTAAAAACCGTAACAAAACCAATAAAATATAACACACCTCAAAATCTCTACTACTATTTCGTCTCTGACGAGATCTTTGTTTTGAGAGTTCTTTCAGTTTCTGGAGTTGTTCTCGCTTTCTTGCAGCTACAGTTTTTTCAGTTTTTTTTTGTTCCATCTCAACTGAAGAACATTCATCTTCAACCACTCTACGTGGACGTTTAACACCTACTTTTCTAACTAGGATATCACTATCATCACTCTCATCACTGTCATACATAACAGAGGAGATCCTTTTTCTCTTCCCTCGCTTGATGTGTTCTTCTTCTAAGTCCTCTTCTATTATTTGTCCAGTGTGTTTGTTGAGATCATCATCCTCTTGACTTGAATGTTTTCCATGATCTGGTAAGTCAACACTTCTATATTTGTTTTTGTTCTTTTCTTCTTCATACGTTGAACTGTTGCCAGTGTTCATAAGATGCTCACAGTTACTACTTTCACTTTCAACTTTAATTAATCTAAGTTCTCTTTCATTTTCTGGCTTTTTATTACTATCAAACCCCTTGTTATCATCAAGCTCTTCATCACTGTCAAGCTCTTCATCACTGTCAAGCTCTTCGTCGCTATCAAACTCTTCACCGCTATCAAACTCTTCGCCACTGTCAAGCTCTTCGTCACTATCAAATAACTGTGAGATACTACTTCTTTTAGTCCGCCTCCAATCAACTCGAGATTTCTGCTCATGCTCTTGAGTTTTAGAATTTTTCCTTGTTTCGTGTCTTCTAACATGTACCATTTTCACTTAAGCTTCTACAAAATAAAGTTATTAGGAATATAATAATGATAACCAGATTACAACAATGAATGCATTTATGGTACAAACTATATTTATTTGGTGTTATAAAATGGTTCACAAAGGTAAAAATCACATAAAATATCTGAGTGAAGATAGTAGAATATTTATTCAACATATAATTTATTGAATATCTATGAAATAATTGTATGAACATTTATTCTGAATTATCCTATATTTCGTGCTGAAAGGGACACATAGAAAAATAATGGTCCTGTTTTCCAGAAGATTATTATCCATGGGTAGAACATACAAACATATATTAAGAAAAATGCAAGGTATTCATTTAGTACAAAATGAGAGATAAAAAAACTGCAATAAAATTATAAAGATGCAGGAAGAACAGTATAGCAAGTGCTTCACTGAAGATTTTATTGAACAGATATGATCTGATAGACTTCTAAAGGACTGGCTATATTTCAACAAAAAGAATGACAGAAAAAAGGACTTCAGGCAGGTAAAAATGGTAAGGTCAAAACTTTGGCACTGAGAGAGAACATGGTATGTTAAATAAGTGTGACCAAAAAAGGTGTGAAGAAAGGCTTTATGCTGGAAAAAAAGAGACAAGTATAGAAACATAGGGTGGGATTACCAGAATCATTCATCCTTAGGCCAAGGATTCTGAACAGAGAAATGATATGAATTATAACATAAAGGATCAATCAATTTATATGAAGAAAGTTATAAAGTAGTAGCTGACAAAAGATAGCATTGCAAAATTAAGAGATCACCTATCCACTAAGATTGTAGCTTCTATATACTTTAGTAAAATGGCAGTGGCTTTAAACCACTCAAAGTTAAAGATATAATCCAACAGAAAACTTACTAACAATCCAAAGTTGGGTGAAAAAATAGTTTCATGGTGAAGCAGAGCATGATATTGGGAAGGAAAACAAATACTCTAAGTTTCTGATTCAGAAAAGGCTGACCACCATTAAAATTATCACAAGTACATAATAAAGGAACAATTAGAGACAAGTAAGATAACTAGAAGAACAGTAACATGTATATACTTCTGTAGTTGCTAAGGAATTAGACATATGATCACAGTGTAATGAGACTGACCTCATAATATATGTATAAGAACTTATATATTCTATTGAGTGCTATCTCCTTCAAAAGAAATCACCTTATGAGGCTAATTATTCCAATATTTGCACCATGGCACAGAATATTCTTGGAGATTTTCTATAAAACATAGTATCAAACATTACATAAAAATATGAAAATAACCCCACTCCATTTTTTTTAATCCCAAAAAGTGGCTTAAATACCTATTTTATTGACTTGTCTTAGTTTAGGGACTGTTAGCAGCTTCCAGAAATTAAATCCAATTTCAAAAGATGAATATTAATTACCATTACAGATATTTTTTAAATGTGCTGTAACTTTGAAGGTAATAAAAAAAAATAGAATGCCAAAATTTTTTGAGCAATGGTAGTATCAGTGAATCAAGTTTATAGCTTTCCAGGATGATTCCTTTTTTGGGTGGGTGGGAGTGGGGGAAATACCACTCTGATTGTACAAATTCTGTTATGTTTAAAAGCAATGTGACAGTTTCTACAATGGTAACACCTCACATAAAATCAGAATAATGGCTGCTAAGATTATATACCAGAAATTTTCTTTATAGTGTAGGCTAAAGAGTGACCTTATGACAGTAACTGCTAGGAGATACACTGAGCGTTATAACAGCAATCTAACAAATCCTAGTCAACAGACAAAATATTCTGTTACTTGAAATTACACTTTGGTTGCATATTACAGGCGGCTTATAATAAAATCGGCAAAAATGAGAATTGTGGTCAAAATTATCTTTAAAAAAATCTCTATATTACTCTTTAAAGTATGTTTTTTTATGTATCATACTGCTTCACAGTAGGTCCACCCAGTTTCTTCTCTAGGTTTTGAACAGATTACTGTTGTTTTTTTTTTTAATTAAGCACCAGATAAATTAGGCAGCTTATATTGTGAAGCCATATATTACAAATAAGTATTTTTTGAGCACATACAGTTAAATTTGCACAAACTGTATGTGCATTACACTACTAATGTCTTTCTAATAAGTCTGTCTGAATTAGGAGAAATAATGAAAAAACATTTATGAAAACAAATGACAAATATGGCTTCAGTAGATACACTAAAGCAAGTGTGAACATTAGGAACATTAAATGAAAGATGATTTTATTAGTACTCAAAAGCAGTTTCATGTACACTAGATGACTATCTCACAAAAGACAGTTATTTATATCAATAGGTGACTCCTATGACAATGGTAGAACAGGTAAGAACGTGACACTATAAAAATACCTATCACTACACACGGTTAAGCTATTAAAAAATCCTGTATGTATAGAATTTTTTAGTGCATTTTCATATCTGTTTTTAAATTCTGACAATTATCCTAGAAGGAAGATACTGTCTCCCTTCATTTACAAATATCAAAGCCAAGGACATAGAGTTTAAGTGACTTACCGATGATCACACAGCTTGTTAGTGACAGAGCAGGGATGAAAAACCAGGTCTCCTGATTCCCCGTCCAGTCCTACACAATGACTGCTGCCAATATTCTATTTATACAAGGTAGTAAAAATCATGCCTTTAAAAAGTCATTATTTTTTCTCTCATTCATGTTAAATTTTAGTTTCATAAAATAATCATCAAAATAGTTTAGAGTTTACAAACATGCTTTTTAAAAAATTATGTAACAGAATTTTAGTGCACATGAGTTAGGCCAGACACTTCTGGAAATCGTCCATCCAATCAATAGGCAAGAAAACAATGTGCAAAAGAAATGAAAATTTGAAACTTCCCTCTACCATCTTATTGATGACACTGATTATAAAATTTAAGGATTCCCCACTGAGTCCAAAAGTAAAATTTCAAAAAAGGCAGTCTCTGATGAGAGAAAAAAATTTTATTTGGGAAAACAGCAGTACTGGATATTTGAAGAAGCAAATTTTATTTAAATAAATCAAGTTTCATTTGTCCAACTGCCAAATTTCCAGTTCTCTCTTCATATTTCAAAACTGCTATTTTATCAATGACGTCAAAAATTCTGTCATTGGAAAAGAAGATAATTTAAATATGGTAGGCTCCTCTTTTAAAATTGTGAATACTTTTCCTATGTTAGCTGGGGAGGGAAGAATGATGACAGAGGGAAAAGGTGAGTGAACTGAACCTGAGGAGAGAAATGAGGTGAAGCTAGGTTGATGAATAAGCCATCTCTTGGTCTTTGGAATTCACTCAAAAAAAGAATCCATGCAATAGATATAATTTCTTTATATGCTGAGTATATACTCAATTTCTTGAAATGAGAATTTAATCAAGCTTCTTTAATGAAGGCTTACCTTTAGGCAAAGAGAAAAACAGAAAGACTCCAAACAGAAAGCATTAAATAAATGAAGATCAATACTATCACATCTTTGTGCTTCATAGTTAATATCACATAAAAGGCACATACATAGCTATGCTCTCTGCCAAAGAAAGTAAGTTAAAGGTAAGAATCCATATTGCTCTCTCACCCACACTAACTCTACAACTAAAAGGTACTTTGATGATGTTACCTGAATTTCTCATCAGAAGAAATATCCTTTAGTCTAGACTTTGAGATTAACTCATCCTAAAGAAAAGATTCATTCTAGGAATCACTTGCCCTGTCAGGTGACAGTTTACATTTTTAAGGTTTGAAGGGCAGCCATTACTTGAAATTCCACCAGAAGGGGTGCATTCCTGTTTGTAAAACAACACCCCTCCCTGATGTTTCCTTTTATAGGACAGTTTGGAGAGGACACCTTAACTGATCAAAGAAATGGTTACTGAATGTACACACTATGCCAGCACATGCTCAGAGCTGTGGCGTTACCAGAAGAAATCAACAACGCGGTCTCTGCTCCCAAGGAGCTCACAATCTGATGAAATTACTAGGGACACCCAAACAAGCCGGCATAATACATGATTTAAGGGCTACAGTGTACGATTCAGAGTTAAGCTCTTTTCACATAGCTGTGAATAAATTTATCACAGTTCTTCCACTGCTGGAAAACAGGGCAGCACAACATGACAGGAATAGGAAATGGGAAGGTAACATATAAAGAGAGAAAAGCCAATTTGCCCCACTTAGAATCACGAACCAACGCTCCACAATTTCGCAGAGTGCAACCTGCCAGCTTAGCATCCGGGACAACTACAGTATTCATTAAAATCTTTTAACACTGAAGGTGGTTCTCTAAATCCAGCAGGGTTGAGTGGCAGAGGAAAGATCCTCTCGGGAATTAACACCAGCGTCATTTTCCTGATTACAAACCTGGCTCTTTGGCTGAACGCAGGCACCAGGCGCAGCACGCCCGCAGTCCGCTACTCTGCCTCCGGGAGAGAGGGGCACCGTAGCTAAGAAACCGGACCCTTAGAGCTTCACAATGACGTGCGAGGGACGACACAAACCCCCAGGCCCCAGAAAAGCTCCGCACCCAGACAACCAACAAGGGTCTGGAAAGGCCAGAAACCCGCGAAATCACCACTCGAGCTTCCCCCAACAGTCCTGCCCACTTCCCCGCCGCGCAGGAAACTGGCACCCCGCCCACTGCAGCTCGGCCCAGGCGGCCGGCGAGTGGAGAACGACGTTGAGGGGTGTCGTCCCGCCCATCCCGAGAGTGCCCGCGGGAATTTTTTTTCCCGCCTGCCGGGAGGCGCGGCTTCCCCTGCTCGGTTAATAAACCATTAGCAGCCTGAGCGAGAGCAAGTCCCCGCCCCGAGCTGCCCCTGCGCCTCCCCACGCCCTCACCTTTCAAAGCTCCACCGCCTTTGCCTCCGCCCCAGGTACCCCCTCCAGACTGGCGACGCTCCTCCTCCTTCCGGGGACCAGGGGAAGTCCCGCCTCTGGGAGGAGCAAGGGGCGGGGTCGGCAGCGGGAGGGGGCATCTTCCGGGAGCGTGTGCTGGGGGAGGAGCGGTCGCCGCGCGTTAGTCAGGGAGCTGTGCGGGTCCTGGTTCCAGTTGAGGTGGGGAGAGGGGCCCGGTGGGCTGTGAGGGGCCGGGAGGACTGTCCAGGCTAAGCCCCGCGCGGGGAAGTGTGGCTTGCGGTGGAAGGGGTTGGCTTCTGGGGAAGAAATCAAACCTAACCTTTCCCTTGGGGAAGGGGGCTAGTCCCCGACTCCCTGGTTCTTCCGCTCTCTGCAGTAACTTTGGGGTGTGGCAGGGGCTAGTGACCGGCGTTTACTCCGGATCAGGGCGTGAAGGAGGTTTGTGATCACGATGGGGTTATAGTCTTTAACGCGGCCACTGGGGGAATAAAACAAATGTTTGTAATCCGGATTATCCGCGGTGGCTTGGGGCCTCCTCTACTGCCCATCTAAGTTAAAGGCCTGTTCCCTCAAACTTCCTTCGCTCTCATCTTCCTCTGCCGTCTCTTTGCCGGCCAAGCACGTCCGGGGACGGGGTCAGGGCCACCAGGTTCCTGGTAAGGTTGAAAGACTGAGCGTGTAGGGCTGTTAAAGTGAGTCTGTGTGAAAGAAGGAAGGATTTTGTAGATTGCTTCAGAGGGAGTGTGGGGTGAGGCCCTGAGTCCCAGAGCCTCAGCATGTCAGGGAAACGGAAGCGGGTGGTATTAACTATTAAAGATAAGCTTGATATAATAAAAAAACTTGAAGACGGAGGTTCTTCCAAACAATTGGCAGTGATTTATGGAATTGGTGAGACAACAGTTCGGGATATAAGAAAAAATAAGGAAAAGATTATAACTTATGCAAGCAGTTCTGATTCCACAAGTCTTCTGGCCAAGAGGAAATCTATGAAACCATCCATGTATGAGGAACTGGACAAAGCAATGCTAGAATGGTTCAACCAGCAAAGGGCAAAAGGGAATCCCATATCTGGACCGATTTGTGCAAAAAGGGCAGAGTTCTTCTTTTATGCTTTGGGAATGGATGGTGATTTTAACCCCTCCGCTGGTTGGTTAACTCGTTTTAAGCAGCGGCACAGCATTAGAGAGATTAACATTAGAAATGAAAGATTAAATGGAGATGAGACTGCTGTGGAAGATTTTTGTAACAACTTTCGAGACTTTATTGAACGAGAGAATTTACAGCCTGAGCAGATATACAATGCAGATGAAACTGGACTCTTTTGGAAATGCCTACCATCCAGGACTTCTGTGATCAAAGGTAAATGCACTGTCTCGGGGCACAAGTCAATTGAAGAAAGAGTCACTATCATGTGTTGTGCCAATGCAACAGGTTTACACAAACTGAAACTTTGTGTTGTGGGGAAAGCAAAGAAACCTCGCTCCTTCAAGTCAACTGACACCTCAAACCTGCCAGTCTCTTATTTCAGCCAAAAAGGTGCATGGATGGATCTTTCCATTTTCCGACAGTGGTTTGATAAGATCTTTGTGCCACAGGTTCGAGAATACTTAAGATCTAAAGGCCTGCAGGAAAAGGCTGTGCTCTTGTTGGATAATTCACCAACACATCCAAATGAAAATGTCCTCAGGTCAGATGATGGCCAAATATTTGCTAAATATTTACCACCTAATGTGGCTTCATTGATCCAGCCCTCGGATCAGGGAGTCATAGCGACAATGAAGAGAAATTATCGTGCAGGTCTTCTTCAGAACAACTTGGAAGAAGGTAATGACCTGAAATCATTCTGGAAGAAGCTAACTCTGCTAGATGCACTTTATGAAATAGCAATGGCATGGAATTTAGTAAAACCGGTTACCATTAGCAGAGCATGGAAGAAGATTCTTCCTACCATAGAGGAGAAAGAAGGCTTGGACTTTGATGAAGAAGATGTTTCTGTGGCTACTGTGGCCACCATTTTACAACATACCAAAGGACTGGAAAATGTGACTACTGAGAACATCGAAAAATGGCTTGAGGTGGACAGTACTGAACCAGGCTATGAAGTGTTAACTGACAGCGAAATCATCAGAAGAGCACAAGGCCAGACAGACGAATCTAGTGAAAACGAGGAGGAGGAAATAGAACTGATTCCAGAGAAACATATTAATCATGCAGCTGCTCTCCAATGGACTGAAAATTTATTGGATTATCTAGAACAACAAGGTGATATGATTCTGCCTGATAAACTCGTGATACGTAAACTTCGAGCCACCATCAGAAATAAACAGAAGATGACAACCTCGAGTCAATAATGGCATGTCATTGTTAACCATTGTTTTGGTAATTGTGTTTGTAACTCTTAACCTCTGCAGTGTGATTTAATTTTCTTTGCGTTCTTAATTCTCAGTCACAGCCCTATGAAATGCAGATACAAAAATGTATCTGAAGTGGTTCGAGGATTATATGTTTTGCATCATCTCTGTGTCTTTATTTGTGCAGATAATTGGAAGCTGATGCTGTATAGATATAAATTACATATACACAGGTATTCACTTTTGTAGATCTGCAATTACCCCTTCTATTACAGTGGCATTCCCTAAACTTTCTAAAAAAAAATTACAGATAACAGTGAACAGATGGAGCATTTTCCTGAAATCTGTTGTTTGGTTTATGAGGGCTGCCACAGTAATCTTTTCTTGTGTTAACATCTTAAATGTTATGTTTTGTGTGTCTGTATACACTGACAGAATGAGAAATACCTATATTTTAGATTTCAGGGTGATATGCAGTAATTAAAAGTGAAGTCCAATAATGAGGAAACTGATCAATGAATTATAAAAATAACTTAGAAATCATACTTTTGTTCTCTTACATTTGTTTATGTGGCAAGAGGGGGAGATTTTTCTGGAAGTAAATATATAGGAAGTGATTACTAAATTAGTAAGAAAACTATTTGAAAGCTGATATACAAATGAGCTATTTTGATGTATTCATTTGTAGAAAACTGCGAGTTGAAAATTTGGGGAACTTTAGGTTATTTATACAAGGGGAATAAATAAGCTTGTTTTAATTGGGTCTTATGAATTGGGTAATTATTTATTCGTAATTATAGTACAGGTTTTGTAATGTTACATGTGGTAATACGAACTCCCGCCTTATATGTGGGGAAGAATCTTGGGAATTTAAAGTTATGTTTTTTTTACTGTGTACTTGGAAATGTCTATAGTTTGAAAAAGTTTATCATACCTTCCCCTTTTATTTGATATGAAAAGAAAAAGAAATGAGAAGAATAAAGTTATTATTATTTTTAACAAGCCATAGGTTGTGACCTGTTTTATGAAGAAAGCAGAAATAATTATGGAAAGTGCCAGATTCTAAGGACTTTCATTTACTCTTTTAACACTTGTAAAAAGGTATTCTTTCTTCTAGAATCCATTTAAGTCAGATTTTTGATAAATTTGCTTAGTAAATTTAATATGTTTATTCAGGACATTGAAAAGACTGTGACTATTGATTTAATTTATAATTTAAAAGCAATGTGGGTCTCCATATTATTTCATGTTTTGGCCCTTTAAAAAATGTTCTCTATCAGTCATTTTTTAAAAGTTTTAACTGTTTCATTGAAATATTTTGCATTTTATATTTATAGTGCCTTTCTTAGAATTCTAAGACTTCAAGGAGACTTTTAGCTTCCCTAATTTCTGTTATCTTAATGATGTGTGTCCGGATTGTTTAAAAAAGACTTCTGTGATAACTGTTTAAAAATTATTGCATGAATTGCCTCAGTGCACAGAGGAAAAAGCATCAGACATTAACATACATATTGAATCAGATAATTATACATCCTGCTATAAATTCAATTGTATATAAAAGAATTTTTCATTTTTCTAATATAAAAATGTATAAAAGCTTGGAATTTCTGTCTGGATTTGCTCAATTTTTAAAAATCTTGTCAGTGAAATTCAGCTGTATCGTTGCCACCTAGTGGTAAAATTAACATTGCTGTTAAGCTGTGTGGTTTTAAATATTAATATCAAGTAAAAGGTTCACTATTTTGTGGCCTTGAGTGTGAATCTGATGACTTTCTCTAGCCTGTGAGAGACTGCTCTTGTTTTTTAGATTTATAGCTATTTTCTCTTTTCTAAAAGCTGCCAACACTGGTAGGCTATAGTTCTGTTTTGGACCTTTTTATCCTTAAGCGTAAGTATAAAAGCTGCCAATTACTGAATACCATGTTATGTTCTAAGCAATTTACTTATATAATCCTCAAATTATGGTGGAAATACTGATGCTCAATTGCTGAAGATCACTTGGGTACAGGTAAGAATTTAAGCCCAGATATTTGATGCCAAAAGCCTATGCTTGTATTATCCAACCTAGGCTAACCTCTTAACCTTTTCCAGTCTTCAAAATGTATTTCCTGCCACCAGCCCCACTCCCCCCACCCTTCACGGATGTCTGACTTTACTTCTCTGTACACTTGTGGCAGCAACTGCCCTTTACTCTTACGAAGTTAGTCTTCCTCTTTCATTACCCTGTAGTTCATTTCCGTTTATCCCCAACTTAATAGCATTTGAAACTCGAATCATCTGTCTTTTTGATTTCTGGTTAGCCATGCTCAGTGAGGATCCTTTCTCACTTAAACAATTTAAAACCCACCATTGGGAAAATAAACAGTTCCCGCAAACCTTTCTCTTTAGTTTATGAGACAGTCTCAAAGAGATGCGAGGAATTGGCACAGTATTGTACCAACATGAAAGTCTTGCTAGACCAAAGATACTGAAAACTGCTACTATCAAAACCACATGAGTATGTATACACTCAGATCCATATAGATCAAAGGGGGAAAAAATGATAATGGGAAGAGAAGGAAGGATAGGTTCAAATACAAGAAGAGTTGGTTAGGAAAAAAAAAGGAACATGTGGGCTGCAGTGAGGTTAATTTTGTAATGTGTGTTTCACCATCATAGTCCCAGGCTTACTAATATGTGCTGCTCATTCATAGATGGTCCCTGAAATCTCTGCTTTTCTTCTCTTACAGAATGTTTAAAATTCAGTGCCAAGTTAAATGCATTTGATCAGTAGTTGGGAATGGTTAGTGGATGATGACAAAAACTATTTGGGTACTGTATCTGCCCCAAAGTCATAAATCCTTAGTTCCTGATTCCTAGTCCCTAACGTCCCACCAGAGGCTGTTTGGCTTTCAATTTCTCCATTAAGAAATTAGCCACAGGGGTACCTGGGTGGCTCAGTCAGTTGAGCGTCTGCCTTCTGGGGTTGTGATCCCAGGGTCCTGGGAAGGAGCACTTCATCGGGCTCCCTGCTCAGTGGAGAGCTTGCTTCTCTCTCTGCCCCTCTCCCCTGCTCATGCTCTTTGTTGCTCTCATTCTCTCAATAAAATCTTATTAAAAAAATAGAAATTAGCCATAGACTTAGTTTTCTCACCAGTCTTGCCAGGTTTTCCCATTGATGAGCCTCAATAAAACAACAGCTCTCAGAAAACCCATCTGTACATTACGATGTTTCTTTAAACCCATACTCCTAGTAGCCAAGAATTCTGTCAGAGTAGGTTTATGGGCAGGAAATTAGGAACTTTTTATGAGAGATTTGGACTTTTTGGGGGTGGATGGTGAGGGAAGTGGAATTCTTTGCCAGGTATAAATTTAGTGAATCAAAAATTGGTTGGGACTTACTATATGCATAACACTACTGGGGGTGGTGTGTTTAGGAAAATAAAAAGAAGAGTGGTTCTTGTCCTTAAGGATCTTGAAATTAAGATGGAAAAATGACATTTGAAAAAAAAAACCCATCTGTTCAATTGTAAACTCAAGTAATACAGCCAACATGATGTGATAAGGACTATGTGAAGAAACCATCATGATTTATTTTGCTTATTCATTCCTTCGCTGGCTTGTACTTTGTATACTGTTTACATTTTAAGCTTTTCTTCGTTCTTGTTTTTCACTGATCCTGAGTGACTTCATCCATTTCCATTACCTGCATGCTTAGGACCCCGAATCTACCTCCAGTTGCTGTCTTCAGAAGTCCAAATTTGTATCTTCAATTGAGAAGCAGGATTTAAATTTGGAAGGGAAATTAAAATTGTTGCTTTTCTTCCCGTCTGTAGTAGACTCTCCATTAAGCATTCTGATGTCAGAGCTACCTAGATGGGCTAAGGAGTTGAAATAATTTTTTAACTGAATGCCAAATTAAGCTTATCTTCCTTGGTCTCAGATAACAAAACAAATAATTATCTATTTTCTTATCTCTGTCCTCTTTCTTAGTTAGCCTTTTCTGATGTACATACATGCCTTTGCCTCTGACCATTCCTTCACACAGGCAGCCATAGTACTTTCTGGTTTTGGTATCCTTGTTGCTACTCAAGTATTAAAATTTAGTTTGTCATGTTCCAACCCCTAACCTTAAATGACCATCATTTATACTCTTTACACCAACCATATGCCTTAAAATGTACTCTGTTTTCTGCAGTTTGGGCAGTGGCAGCTTCCCATAGTAACTAGGCTTATGCAATTAGAAGCGGGGTACGAAAGAATGCCCAAAGGGTACTGGTCGCTGGGGACACCTAATAATGCGAAAACTAGTGTCCGTGAGACCTTGGAGCCTGTAAGACTTGTAATATATTGTGAAGTGATTTTTGCGATCTGTGTCTCTTAATACTGGATTAGGAGATCAAGGCTCAATGCAGAGTAGCAGACATTCAACAAATGTGTACTCAGCAAACACTAATTGTATACTTTCTCTGTGTAAGACGTGTTAGGCAATGTATGGGATACATGGATAAGACTACCCGCTTCAAGAGATTTATATTAGAGACATGTAGAAAAAGAGAAGTGTTACAGTGCTGATGGAATACAAAGAAAACACTCATTAAATCTGATATGAGGGACAAAGCAGTGTAATCTGATAGGAGTAGAGTCATAACAATTGAGTTGGTCTTGAAAAGCAACTGAATTTTTCGTTTCAGTTTTATTTGTCTTCAGTCATTGCCAAATGTCCTCCAGGGGGCCAAGTCATCCCCACTTGGGAACCACTGCTGTAGAGCTACAGGATTACAGGTACTTGGTTTGCTTTCCAAGTTACTGAAGGTAATATTTATAAAATGTTTCTACCACTATCCCAAATTACACAGCCTCTGATATTTATTTCCCTGATACCCGCTTCCTAATCACTGATTTAATGCCACACACTTGAGATTTTTGCCACAGCGGCACTGCACTTCAAGGTACCCATTTCTCTATTGATCTGGGTGACTCTAGCTAATGAAACACATCTCAGAATTTTAGAGATTTACAATAAATGTTTTTCTCTCAGCAGTTTTGTGATGATAAAGGACTTAGTTGGAGCATGACTCTTTAAGTAGAGATTCATGGACCTAGGCTTCTTCTGTCCTGTGACTTTGCGTTTGAGACTCTTAAAATCTTCTGCATCTAGTTAGCAGATGGAAAAAGAGAGAGAATGAAGAATATACCCTGCTTCTTAGAAACTTCCTTTTCTCAGAAGTGATATACAATTTTTCAGTTCACATCCTAATGATAAGAACTAATCACCTGGCCCAACCTTCATACAGGCAACGCTTGG